GCATTTCAGCAAAGAGCCAAGGTAATTTAAATTTTTATTGCTACATTTGGTCCTTGGCTTTAAACAAGCCAAAAAAGAACCCTCAGAAAAAGTAATTTACTAAATCATGGTACCAACCAAATCACAAACAACCAAACTGCAATGCTTGGCTTTCCCTGGGTTTTGTTTGTGTTGCTAAGATATTAGACAAGTCTGGCTGACAAGCAATATTTTGCAGAAAAGGAGTTGAGAATGCTCTGTTGGCAAGGCAGAGGATGGGGTAGAGAGACAAATGCTATCTTCTTGTTTTGTAACTAAGATGACTTTGCTAGGCCTCTTGCCTTAATTGCCCTTGGGATGATTAACATTGGCTCCAAGCTCCCAGGACACAGACTAATCCATTTGGTGAGGCTCCTGGAAACTTGCTAGCCAGCTTAGATCAATGGCCAACAAAGATTTGAGGATTCCTTAGAGGAGCCATCAGCGAAATAAAATGTTAATCATCAGGGTAAAATACACACACACACACACATAACCAAGCACACACACATAATGACATTTCTTTAAGAGATGGAACCATGCCTTATTCATATTTGCAATATTGTAAAGATTAAATGGGTTGATGCATGCCAAAAAAACTTAGAATGGTGTTTGGCAAAGGGTAATCAGTAAATATTTAGAAGCTGCTATTTTTGTTTATATCCACTGTGTTAAGTATAGTAACTGTTACATAATAGAAAACCAATACACTTTAAATGATTTTTCAATCAATATAGATTTATTATTTCTCTTTGCTTTGTTAAATGCTCATTGAAGATAATTCAAATTTAATATTTCAACTAAAAAAAGAGTGTATTATGTTTAAAAAATGTGAAAACCACTGCTGCAGAGGATGGAGAGTCAGCAAAGACTTTAAAAAGAGGATAATATGATTAGCCTTTTCTTTTTTCGGGGGGGGGGGGAACAGGGTCTCACTGTCACCCAGGCTACCATGCAGTGGTGAAATCATGGCTCACTGCAGCCTTGACCTCTGGGGCTCAAGCAATCCTCCCGCCTCAGCCTCCTGAGTAGCTGAGTAACTGGAACCACAGTCATGAGCCACTATACCTGGCTAATTTTTTTTTTTTTTAATTTTGTAGAGATGAGGTCTTGTTATGTTGCCCAGGCTGGTTTTGAACTAGTGGGCTCAAATGATTCTCGTCTTGGCCTCCCAAAGTGCTGGGATTACAGGCATAAGCCACAGAAATGGGCCTCAGAATTTATTTTTAAAAGGTATTTGAAACTATAGGTGACTTGGAAAAGTTAGACTTGAAGCAGAGAAACAAGAAAGAGGAATATGATATCCAGATCTGAGAAAATAAGACCTTGAATTAAGGCAGTGGTAATGAGGATTTAAAAAAAAAAAAAAAAAAAAGATGTCAGACTAGTGAGATATATAGGATATGGAGGTTATAGGATTTAACGACCAATTCCAAGGTGAGAGTGAAGAAGTCACAGAGAATAAATCACCTGCCTCTGACTTGGGAAACAGAATAGAGAGTGACCCTTAACCAGAGTAGGTTATTCACGAAGCAGAGAAAGGTTGGTGAGAGACATGGTTAAACTTTAATTATGTTAAGTTAGAAGCACCATTGGGACATTCAGATAAAATGTCCCCAAGGCAGCAGGATATAATAATCTGAGGATCAGAACTGAAGTCTGAGATAGGGATAGAAATTTGGAAATCATTGGTAAAAAATGTGAGGCCATCCACATTGATAAGATCGACCACAAAGAAGGATAGAATAAAGAGAGAAGAGGCTTAAGGAGTAGGCAGAGGGACAAGGAAAGGAGCTACAACCAACTTGTCAGCAGGGAAGAGGAGAGTAAGGAGAGCAAGGCCAAGGGAGTTACCGGGGTAGTGTCCAAGAGAGAAGGAGAGAGATAAGTAGTAACAAATACTGTAGAAGTCAAATGGAACATTAAATGAAGGTGAAACTTATTCACTGGGCACAGTGTAGGAGCTTAATAATATTTGGTAAATTGGATATATGAGCTACTACACACAAAGCGAATCATTGCTGATCTTGCCTCCAATATACCCTCGTAATTATCTACACTAAACATTTTTTCCAAATCTTTTAGTCTCCTGAAAATAAAAAATACTCCGATTTAGTAACTTTCTTCAGAATACATTGGGCTTTCCTAACCTCATGCTTTGTTGTACGCCATTCACCCTGGCTAAAATACAATTGATCTATGTCTCTGTTTATATCAACCTACTGACCTCTCACACCTGGATCAAATCCCAACTTCCCCATTCAATCTTCCATGATTTTACCAAACAGAAGTAATCATCACCTCCATAAAACTCCCAAAGGGGCTGGGTGTGGTGGTTCACGCCTGTAATCCCAGCACTTTGGGAGGCCAAGGCGGGCGGATCACGAGGTTAAGAGAGGGAGACCATCCTGGCCAACATGGTGAAACCCTGTCTCTAGCAATAATACAAAAATTAGCTGAGTGTGGTGGTGCATGCCTGTAGTCCCAGTTACTCCAGAGGCTGAGGCAGGAGAATCACTTGAACCTAGGAGGCAGAGGTTGCAGTGAACCGAGATCGTGCCACTGTAGTCCAGCCTGGTGAAAAAGTGAGACGCTGTCTCAAAAACACACACACATACACACAGACTCCCAAAGGACCATTTTTTATCTACATCAGTAAATCATCAAGTTAATGGTTTTATTTATAGCATTATCTTATTCTATTTTTCTCTTGTTCCTTGAACAAAATTTTTTATCTTGTATTATAAATTAAATTTTAGGTGTCTGTATCTTGCCTCCCATCTAGATGATAAATTCCTGGATAACAGGGATACGATCTCATAATTTTCTCTGTGCCAAATATTTACTGAATGCCAAAAATGTGTGGAGCTCTGGTAGAGATACCAGGGATAGTATTGTAAATAAGACAGGCAACATCTTACTGTCACGGAGTTTATATTCTGCTGGACATACTTGAGCTTATTATGTTCCTCAGCTCCTTCTCATCCATACTATCAGAACAATATACCTTACTGTTCTTGGGTTCATGAACCCAATGTCCTTTATAATACCCTTTATACACATTTCCTAACCCTAGACTTCTAATATGACAGATACTGAAGTAAAATAAGGGAAGTCTAATTGAGTTATGAAGATCACTATAACATGGAGAGTTTGGAGTCAGACTTTAGTTGAAATATTAGATGTGCCATTTACTAGATGGGTGACTGAAACAATTTTTTTTGTTGGTTTTTGAGACAGGGTCTCACTCTGTCACCCAGGCTGAAGCACAGTGGCACACTCAAAGCTCACTGCAGGCTAGACCTCCTAGGCTCAAGTGATCCTCCCACCTCAGCATCCTTAATAGCTGGGACTACAGCATGCACCACCGCTCCTCGCTAATTTGTGTATTTTTTGTAGAGCCGGGGTTTCGCCATATTGCCCAGGCTGGTCTTGAACTCCTGGCCTCAAGCAATCTGCCTGCCTCAGTCTCCCAAAGTGCTGGGATAACAAGCGTGAGCCACTATGCCCAGCCTGAACACAATTTTTAACTTTTCTGAACTTGAGTTTTTTCATCATAAGAACTGTAATAATATCTATCATCCAGAATTACCATGAAAGTCAAATGAAATCATTACACAGCTGCTAAGAATACATGTTAGTGATGTTAAAAGCGTCTGTAAAATTAAGAGGTCATTGCTCTGAAGAAGGAAGGGTGGTGAGGGGAGTCTGGCTCTAACAAATATTAAAACATTTTATAGTTACAGTAACCAAAATAATATAGTTCTAGAATATGAAAAGAAAAATACGAATAAAATAAACCAGAAAGCCTGGAAATAGGCCCCAATACACACAAAAACAGAGTATTGTCCTTAGTTGGAGAAAAAGGTCACACTCTGGTCTTCTTCTGGTTTTACCACTTTTGGCAGGACAAAGCGGTATGTCCACCGGAAACCTGTCACCTCCCTTCACCTCACTTTGGTTACCCAACCTTTCATTGGCATTGCCTGACTCTGTCTGAAGACCACTTCAAGGACTGTGTTAGCCTTTCCTCTTCACCATCCTCCTGAGAGTGGCCATGAAACATTTATTGTTCCCATAAGCCCTTTGATCAACTTAGAGAGTTCATCACTCTTTCCTCTTTGACACACTTTCTTCACTTGGCATCTGGCTCACTATCTCTCTTGGTTTTTCACCTGACTCACTTACTTACTTGGTCTCCTTTCCTAGTTCCTCCTTATATCCCCAACATCTGAATTCCCAAGTACCTCAAGCTCAGTCTTCAGTCTTCTGTCATTGCAGTCCATTATTAAATTATCTCATCCCATCACATGGTTGTAAATAACATCTATAAACTGACAACTTTCAAATTGATGTTTCTAGCCCTGACACCTCCCTTGAAATCTTCTTTTATATATCCAGCTACCTATTTGACATCTCCATGTAAATGTCTAAATAGGCATCTCAAATTTATGCCCAAACATGTACAAAACTAAACACTTTATTACCTACTACCTCAATCAACTTTTTTCTACAGCCTTTTCTCATGGTAGCAAATGACAAAATCTATTCTTCCCAGTTGCTCAGGCCAAAACCTCAGTCATTCTTGTGTCCTCTCCTTCCTTTGTGTTTCATGTCCAATCCATTAGCAAATCCAGTAGACCTTTCTTACAACATTTGTTGGAATTTGATCACTCCTCACCCCACTGCCACTACGAATCAAATACAATTTGCCATCTTCTCTCACCTGGGTTACTCATCTGGATCAGAGCCAGCAAGTTTTATCCATAAAGGGCCAGATAGTAAATATTTTAGGCTTTGCAGACTGTAAAGTCTCTGTTGCAAACACTCAACTCTGTTCTTGAAGGCCTGAAGCAGCCATAGACAATACTTAAATGAATAGGTGTGGCTGTGTTCCAGCAAATCTTGATTTACAAAAACAGGCATTGGGCCAGATTTGGCCAGCAGGCCATAGTTTGCCAACTCCTGACCTGGATGACTGCACAGCCCTTGACTAGTCTCCCTCTTTCTACCTTTCCTTCTAAAATTGAGACATGGGTGAAGGTGATAGCTTTGAATAAGAGGGAAGAAAGGAAGGATGAGTAAAAACATAGATGACTTTGTGAGTGTGAGCAGAAAATGGAGATGATTCACAGTTGTATTTTGTTGGTTAAACAGTACAAAGATCAGCTGTTGAACATGAGGGGGCTTGAGTTGGGTGGAGTTATAAATACAGTGACCACATCAACTATGATATTCCTTCTGCGCCCCATCCTGCAAAGATGTTTACTCTGTTCTTCAGACACACTGAATTCCTCTTTTTCATAGGCTTCTGAGAATGCTGTCCCGTCTCCCTGGGACATCCTCCCCCTCTCCATCCTGGCTGACTTCTGGCTATTGCCTACTTGTCTATCCAAACTCAGTTTAGGTAGAACTGCTTCCAAAACTTTTCTCATTATCCTCTTGCTTGGCTTAGGTTCAGAAATTCTCCTTTGAGCTCCCATAGTACATGGCACAGTTTCCTAAGCCTTGTTTGTCCTGAAGTCCTCATGTGATTTTGTTAAGTCAGCAGAAGGAATAAAGCAGTAAAACCCTCTCCTATGGAATGGGATAGAGTTTTCCTGAGGGAGAGGTAAGTGGTGTTAGATTGAGACGCTTGAAAAAAGTGCTATGAAGAAGCAGACGTCAACATAGCCAAATCAAAAAGAGAAAGAGCGAGTCCATGGAGATAATTCACTGTAAACATCTAAGTCCAGGGAAGATTGTATTAGTCAGGGTACCAATAGGAAAGAGATTGTACTCTTAAACTAAGATAAAATCATTCAAAGGGGGTTTATTAGCAAGGAAGAAGTTGAGTTATAGAAGAACCACATGTAAATTGCAAGAACCTGAAGACTGAAGGGATAAGATGAGGGAGAGATGACTAGAACCTCGAAGAAGAGGAACATACCGGTTAGTCAAGTGAAACACTCAGTCCAAGACAAACTAGAGAGGGAGCCGGGGAAAAGAATACTCTGACCTCACTTTCCTGTCTTCTTCCTTCTCTTGCTGGGACTCCTTGTTGGCCACATCCTACAGGAAGCCAGAGGGCACATGAGTTAAATGATAGAGTCCAAAAAGATGATCTTCCTGAGGCAGAGGGCAGGGTGAAGAATGAATCTGGGGAGACAAATGGAAGCTATTTCAGACAAAGGCCTATGCTAGAAAAATCAAACTTGTGCTAGTAAGACCTACTTTTCTGGTTGCCCCCATAGGTTTGCAGATTAGCAGAAGCAACTCTTTCAGAGGGGAGGAAAGGAGAAGACAATGAAAACCCAGTTTGCAAATAAATTAATGACCCAAGGACAAATAATAGGATTGCCGTATGGTATTGAGACGCGAGTTGAAATAAAATGCTTTATTCTATGTGATGGAGGAACTAGAGGTCATATTGCATGTTGAGTTCCTCAGCAAGCAGACTGAGAATTCTGTGTTTGTTATGGAGTGCCTTGTGATCAACCACCATGGAAGGGAGGGGGAGGAAGCAGGATTAGGCAGCGGGAGAAGTTGAGTTACATTGCAGGACCAATGGCAGACTCAGCCAGACAGACTCAGACTTCTGTATCAGGAACTTTGGAGTAAAAATCACCTGTAAAAGTTGTCCTGCATGGGGCAGCAATGGCCAAGTATCTATACCCCACCTTGATCAGTCACTGGATGTTATCCTTCCTGGGAAGGGCAGGACCTTGGCCATGGTAGCTCTCTGCAGCTGAAGCAATCTTTCAATGGCTGACTGCTCGAGCCTTTTTGCTGACTGTTCTCCCAGGAGCAGGAGTAACAACCCATTTCTTGAAGGGGGATCTGGGTGGTACATCTCTGGGTCTACCTGAAATCCTTAAGCCTAGGACCCATTTTATGTGTGGTAAGAAGCCCTCTAAATATGTGGCAGAGAATTCTGACAAGTCTGTGTGGGTAGACAAACCAGAGTTCCCTTAGAAGAGCTATGTGGAAAGTGACAGGCTCAAAAGCAGAGTTTGTAGGAACAGTTAAAGGAAGTAGGTACGTCTGGAGGAGATAAGGTATTGGGTAATGTAATAATTGTATGTCTTTCAATATTTTAAAAGGTTTTCAAGTAGAAAAGGGATTAGGCTTTTTCTGCATGGCTACAGTAGGGAGAATCAGGACAAGTAAATGGGAATTTGAGAGAGGAAGAGATGAGATAGATTCAGAGCTTTCTAATCATCATAGCAGGAGTGGCTTGTCTTGACAAACAGCGAATCCCCTGGCACTTGAAGTCTGTGGTCATGAGCTGGGCATGGGGGGTGATACGAGGGAGGAAGTAATCACAGGGAGACAATCGCAAACATCACAAGGACAGTTAGACAATATAATGTTTGAGGCTACTTAGGGGACTCTAAGATTAATTCTTACCCTAATAAAAATAACCACGATAGTCATCATAGTCCCAGAAGAGAAAATTAAATCTGGCTTATGGTAAGTTAAATCCAGTGAAAGTACAAAAATTTTGTCATTGCTTTAACATTCGCTTTTTTTTCCCCTGTCCTCTTTCATTTTCAGAAATGAATTTGTATGAAGCAAATCTATAAAGGAGAGCAGTAGAGGTGAAAATATCATGGAAAAGGCAAGCGCTTTGACTAGTAAACTCATCGAGTTGAGACAAGTGTGAAAACTCATTACAACCTGAATTTCTCCCACATCTCAGTTTCTCCTCCCTTTTAAACTTCCTAATAGAAAAAGTTGAATTCATGTTATTGGCACCACCACTATTTGCCCTCACTTCCATCAAAAAAAGAAAAAATAAATTAGAGGTAGCTCCTTTTCCACGTTTATTTTAATCTAGAATGTTGTGATCCCTCAGGATTTATTTTATGGCTTCTCAAAAGACCAAATCTTGGAAATCTCATTCTTAAACCCATGGGAAATATATCTATTTCTACTCTGCGCAGGTGAATTGAGAGGGAATGGGGTTTTATTTAACACTTGTTAAAGTCTGTAGATTATGTATTGAAGGCATTGCAGAAAAGAATAAGTACTGCAATGAAGTCCATTTTGTTTCATATTTGAAGATAATATTGCAGACCATGATATAACTCATCCATTAATAAAACTGAAAAAATAATGAGTTAGTAATTCCATCAGCTTTTATCAGTGCCCTATTTTCTCCAATACAATATTTTTGCTAATTACTTATAGGCAGAGAAAATCTTTTTCTTAATCTCTAAATCTCTAACATATCATGAGTAAAATAACAGGGGTTCACTGAGCACCTCCTTTGTGCCAGTTACCTTACACACCTTATTTTCTCTTATTAGCAAATCCCTTTTTATTTGCAGATGAAGAATCTGATGCTTAGAGAGTTTTAGTTACAACTTTTCTGAGGTCACATAACAAATAAGTGGCAGGGTCTGCATTCCACATCTGGCTTCTGTTACCCCATCCAGCGCTCTTACCTACCATTTTATACTTCCTACAAAGCATAATGTGGCAGGGATTGGTTTTGCCTACCAAATACTCATTCTCTCCTTCTTCCTTATAACAGAATCCTGAATTTTAGCTGAGTATGTTCTCAGCAGAGGCTGTTTTTCAGCCTGTCTTGCAGCTAAGGATGTGCCTGTGATTAGGTAGTATGTAAAACATGTAATGTGTAAATGGAAATGCTTTGTGAAACTTTTCCCCTTCCAACCTCACCCTCACTTCATGAAATGTAGAGTGATGCCTGTAGCTTTAGCAGCCATCTTGCCCCTTCAGATGATCTTGAGGATGGATGGCAAGGCTGGAGATGAAAGCACATCCTGAGGTTCCCTGGGGACACTATGGAGATGGCATGTCAATTCCTTTCCACCCACTTCCAGACTTCTTTTGCATGAGTGAGAAATAAACTTCCACTCTTTGAAGCCAGCTAAATTTACTCCTGTTATACATGGTGTATCATGCTCAGTATCTTTTCATGGAATTGAATTTGATTACTACTACCTGATACTCCCTAGTGCCTCTTCTCCAGTCTCCTTCCTTTAAAACCTAGCTTAAATTTCAATTTCTCTACAAAGCTTTCTCTGACCACCAATTTCGCTGTGGTGAACTTCAAATAAGTTACCAGGTTTCACAATGATCTCTTTTTTAAAAAGCCTTTTATTATGAAAAATTCCAAACATACACAAACATAAAATAATATAATGAAACATGTCTGACAAAGAATGTTTCTCTATGAGTCATAAAGGTTGACTTGACTTCATGGGCTGGGCTCCCATCCTCACTCTTCCATGTGCGTCTTTCCGCAGTGCTGAGCTCAGATTAAGAGTGGGCCTCCTCCTGGCACGGTGGTTCACGCCTTTAATTCCAGCACTTTGGGAGGCTAAGGCAGGCAGATAATGAGGTCAGGAGATCAAGACCATCCTGGCCAACATGGTGAAACCCTGTCTCTACTGAAAATACAAAAAATTTGCCAGTCGTGGTGGCATGCACCTATAGTCCCAGCTACTCAGGAGGCTGAGGCAGAATTGCTTCAACCCGGGAGGCAAAGGCTGCAGTGAGCTGAGATCACGCCACTGCACTCCAACCTGGGTGACAGAGCAACACTCCGTCTCAAAAAATAAATAAATAAATAAGGGGGGGGGGCTCCTACAAATAGCCAATTTTTAAATTTTGGGGAATTTTTCTATTATTTTATACATTACAATATATATGCAAATAATTTATATTATCTATCTTAATGATACAAAAAATGTTAGATTAGGTAGGACATTATGAAAGTTGGCTCTCGTAAGCCCAACTGGGCGTGGACCAGTTTGAAGGTTTGAAGTGTGAGAGTGACTCTTTTGGAAAATGCTCGTGTTGGTGACTAGATAGAGATAGGGTGATGTCAAGAGACAAACAGGGATTAAAGTCAAAAGAACTACTTTCACGTCCTAACTCGACCACTTTACTTTCCTGGGCCTTGACCTCCTCACTGATAAGATGAGAGACTTGGACTTCTCTGTGATTTATTTCATGATTCATGTTTGAATTTTGGACACTGCCAACCAGAGAAAAACTTCAGAGATCCCAGTTCCACGAATTCAACATTTATAAACTTGTGCTAGTCACTTGATCTCATTTGTAAAACAGAAGTTTCAGCCTAACTAATTTCTATTGTGGTTTTCAGATTTTACATTGTATGGTTCTACCTAGTTTTCTGTATATTAATGTTATTTTATGATTAAAGTCAAGAAAAGATAACTGGCTTTTAATACTGCTGTAGAGAACTCTAGTGAGGTGTTTCCTTCCCCTTCTTGTTCTCAGAACCTTTTCATATACCACCACCATCTTTTGTTAGTCTAAAGCTAAATTAACCATTAGCACCTACGTGAGATGAAGAGAATTGGTAAAATATTTTAGATGATGCCTAAGACACAGGAACTGACCTTGATGCTTGGGAAATGCTTCTGAGCCTGATAGACCCAGTCCTTATTTTCATGGATATAGGAGTCCTGAAGTTGTTTCCACACAGTTTCCCTCAACGTCAGGTTAAACTCATACGTTTTTGCTTATAGTGATGGGGTTTTGCTATGTTGCCAAGGCTGGACTTGAACTCCTGAGCTCAAGCAATCCTCTTGCCTCAGCCTCCTAAGTAGCTGAGACTACCAGTATATGCCACCACATCTGGCTTAAACTCACATGTTTTTAAAAAGATAACCAGTCTGTGGAATTATCTCATGGACAAAATTCAGGAGATAATGTAACTAACATGAAGTACACTAGGTATTAACTGTTACCTTAAAACAATCGTTTTGTGTATTTTAATAGGCCAAAGGTTCTCATATTTTTAAGTGCAGAAGAATAATCTGGGGACTTTAAAATGCTGAATCCTGGGCTCAAGATCTAGAAAGTCTGACTCAGTTGGTCTGAGAGGTCTTTGTTTTTAGCAAATACTCCAAAACATTCTAATGTTGAGTTACGTATTTCAAAACTCTCTTAGAAACTCTCTTAGAAACTGATTAATCTTTTTCTTATGGTCTTAGTCTTTGGTTAAATAGTTGAATTTGATTAAATTTTTGAAAAATTTAAATCATATCTACAAATCATATCTATAACTAACTATACAATATCTTTTCATTGCTAACTTAAAACAGTGCCTCCTTTCTTTTAAATTGAGATAGAGTCTCACTCTGTCACCCAGGCTG